GCTGCCCGCTGCTTTTCTTATCACGGGGTCTTCAATTTAGGGAGTTTGTGAATGTTAGGGTTTGTTAAGAAGCTGTCAGTTTACATTGGTATTTGTCATTTTATTTCCTTTTATAGTTTTTTTTTATTAATAAAATGGTATTTTATAACACTAGCTGTGCAAATCAAAGGTAAGAATGTGTATTCTGGTGAGGCTGAAACAGAAGAATTCAAAATGAAGAGGAATACCCGGTTGCTCTTATTTTGGTCTTCTTGTAAGTTTTTTCCCTTGTCTCTGATCCGGTTTTGATATTGCCAGACAGGATCTAAAAACATAGACAGGTTGAGGAGAGTGTGTGTTTGAGCCTTGTTTGTGCCTTGAAATGGCATCCATGCTTTTTGGAGATGGAGTGTTTCTGCTGGCTTTGTCGGAGCATGACCTTTAGCAAACACTGGAATGATTTGCAGCTGAGTGTGAAATGTTTGGAAAGACATTCAGCACCTCCAAGTCGGAGACTATGGTTCCCGACTAGAAAATAGTAGAATGCTCCCTCTGAGTTGGCAGAAAGATGCTTTCCGAAATGCGGATGTTCAAGCATCTGAGGATGTGACTTATGTGACTTCAATAGGTCACATGATGGAATGGGGCAAGGTCTCACAGTGGTTCCACCCGAAACCTCTGGCAGTAATGACCCATGCCTATTTTCACGCCCTGACTCATGTGATGAGGTACATGATTAATGGTGGGTCAAAGGTACACCTTCAAAGGTACAACCCTCACTAGGGTTTCAATACCGGCGACTCTCCACTTTTTGGTTTTAGAATTGAAGAAATCTCTTGTATGAGAGCCGAAACATCTTCAAAGCACTTATAAGTCCAGAACACTTAAACAAAACACTTAAACCGCCCTTCAAGCTATTTAGACTAACATGACCTGGATGACTGAGAACCTTACACAGACATGTCTTAGGATCGTATTCAAGCGGAGAAACTGGTTCTGCTGGTGGATTAATATGCAAGTATTGCACTGGACAAGAAACAAGAGAACTGAACTGGAAGGCGAGGCTTTCGTTTTACCAGTCAACGTACATTTTAATCCATCTGTGGTCATGAGATCAGGGTGACGATTCAGTAAAGTAAGGTTGCAAATACAAACAACCAAAATGAGTCATCGCCATAGTTCAGCTGGACTCAGCCATAGGGATAGGGTGAGAAACTTGGATATCCGGAGGGACCCCAAAGCCACTGCTATGATGTCTCCTGGGTACCTCACTTTGAGGTTTTTCAGGCACACCCAGCTGGGAGGGGACCCCAGATCCTGCTGACAAGATTATATGTTTCATCTGGCCTGGAAACGCCTCTCAATGCCCCAAGGAGTAACGTGTTGCTGGGGAGAAGGATGGCTGAAACATCCTGCTTAGGCTGCTGCCACCAAGATGGTGGATGGATTTATGGATGGATTCATGGATGGCATTGTTCTCTGCTGCTTTGCTGAAAATCAGTGGCATGAAATGTAAAGTTCTTCACGAGAACAAGTTTCTTTAAAATACACTGAAAAGTTCTCCAATGCCACGAGCTTGAGAAGTACCAGCAAACAAGAAAATGGTTATTTGAAGGCACTCGTGCCTGTAGCTCCAGTGGAAGTCCCACGTGTTGGCGGTCCCTACTGTAGTGGTTTTGAGAAGAAATCCAGAGTCAAAGAGGATTTAAATGCAAAAGCATCACATGCAGACATTGCAAGCTTGGATTGTCTGGCTGTGAACGGTTGACTTCTAAAGGCAGCGGTTAGGCTCATTTTGAACATCCTTTTTGGACATCATTTTGTATTTTAATTACAGTTTCCGTGCACGTGGCCCTGCTGCACACACTCAGCACATGCAGTGACACTGCAGCTTAAATATTATTGCACTTACCCGAACAGTGAGAAACAATTAAATGTTACTTAACAGAAAAATAACTTTTAGGAAATGCTTGATCTCTCATCAAAGTTTTTTTTAAAAATAGGTTTTATTTAAAGTTGAAACCCTATGAAGCCATCATTTGAAAGCATATGCATCTCATTAATCTAAAGGATCAGCTTCACCTTTCCCTGCTGCACTTAAAGCACATTTGCTTCATTTCTAGAGGTCAAGTGAGGTTCTCTGTGGATGTCCTCACATTCCTCTACCCCTCTAGCTCGGTCCAGTTTGTTACTTGACACTTTCCAAAAAAAGGAGGTACTTAATTGCAGGTCCCGTTTTTGTTTTGCTCTCTCTATCATTGTCGTTTTATTGATCATTTTTTCCCCTTGTTCGGCTATGTGTTCGCACAAGCGCATGTTTGCATGTGTGTTTGAGTGCACATATACAGTATGTGTGCATGTGTGACTTGTAATTAGCCTCTTGCTCTGGTCTGTATGGCATTTTAACAAATGCTTCTATATATATCATGCTATCAGGCTGAGGTTTTAGCAGTGTCACTCCCTGCCACTTTCTCCTCTTTCCATCCCTCTCTCTTTCGCTCTTCTCTTCCTGTTCGACCAGATCGGCCCTTGCCCTTCAGCCCCGCCGTGTTTTTTTATAAGCTAGTGGTTTCTCTGTCCTCGCTTTATCTCTCTCTTCCCCCCTAAAATTATGCCTCGGAAGCCTGTCATTGCCATGAGGCACCTCGCCGGACCAAAATCATAAACTCATTACATGTTTTATTTTCTTGTTTGTATAAGGCATGGCTATCATGGCTTTCCATATGTGTATGTGTGTTTGTGTGTGTTATCTGCATATGTGGTTTTAACATATATGGTAATACATGGTTCTTATGTGCATACATCAGGTGTACAAAACCCTGTTAAATGATACCTTCAGCACACGCTTACTGATATGTGTGTGTGTGTGTGTTGTGTGTACACATGTGTGTCCTGACCAGTGAGTGGGTTTAAGCGGTTCATTTATTTTCCAACTAATGTTTGAAATGTTTTCATGTGTGGTCGAAGGTGAAGTGGTGCCTTGGAGCGGTCACCCACACACACACACACACACACACACATGCACCTACACACTCAGATACATACACACACACACATGCAGGAGGGGCATGTCCTGAGGCTGTCAGGGGTGTGTCTGTGGTCAGAGTGGCACTATAAGACACAGGCAGGTACACTGGACTTTTCATTCAGCTTCACAGAGTTGTGTGTGTGTGTTGTGTCTGTGTGTGTCTGTGTGTGTATGCAGCTGAATTTTCTGTTACTTCTCTAACTTGTTTAACTATCTAAGTGTTTAACAGCTTTTCAGAGTCTTAAACTTTCCAGTTTTTCCTTTTTAAGCGACTTTTCAAAGTTTCACCGAGCTCAGGGTGTTTAATCGAGCGTTTTTGCAGCAACTTTTGCACAGTTAAACGAAAATTAGGCAGTTTGACTTTGGCCCTGACTCAGCATTTATAGCAGCACACACAGCATCCCTACTGAGTTGCCACGGCAACTGTGTCAGTCCACTGGAAGTCTGGGGTAAGTATTCAGCTTTGCTTTTCTCCTCTCCCTCCCATTACCCTTTTCACTTTTACAGCCTCCATCTTTCCCCAATATCTCTTTCTCCTGCACTTATTTCTCGTCCTTTCCACTGCGTGTCCTTTTCCCTTTTCTTTTTTTGATTTGCACATTCTAAACGCTTCTTATGTTTTTGCTTTTGTCAGTGGCTGTTTTACAAGCCCGTTCAGAGACATTCTGTCTGCAAGTTCCACCTTCTCATTTCTGAGAAAAAAGACTAAATCAGTCTTTGGCATGCTACAGAGTGTCACTACATGCACATCTGATATTTAGATTTACAAGAAATAGTCTGATATATACAAAGAATTATCATGTATGAATCTGCTGCATGTAACAGGCTATGGATCCTCACCTAATCCTAGCCCGGTGTGAATTCACAGCCCCCACAACTGTGGCAACAAATCTTTTTTTTTTGTCACTTGCATAGTAACACCTCACCACATAATATTTCAGTATATTTTTATGGTGAGTTTTGAAAAGTTAGTCTCAAAAATGCATTTGTTTCTATAATATGTATTCAGTGGCATTTGTTCAATTTATCACAGTCAGTCAAGCAGATCAGAAAGACGAGTGCAAGAGTTTGGCCTCTCAGCAGTATTTAAAAGTTGACAATACAGCAGACTTTGGCTGGAGTGTCAGAATACTATAATTGCAGCTGACAAACCAATAAGTTTGCATATAAGTGTTGATAAATGGGCTCAAGTCAAAGTTTTCCTCAGTCTGCACTGTAAGGTTTTATATAAATTTAGGTGGACTATATTGATGTAGTTTCAAATGAGCTGTTGTCAGATGTTTTTCAGGTACAGACACTGCAGAGGGGATGACACTGACTTGCTACAACGCAACAGTCACCTGTGGCACAAAGACCTTTTCATTTATTCCTAAGCTTCTTAAAAATATCTGCTAAATAAAGCAGTGCAGTCATCCTTATTTTACCCTCCACCGTGACGATGCGTCACTTAGCTGTGATTGCACGGTTGTATGAAAACTCTTCTGAATAAAGGGAAATGCCCATCGCAGGGGCAGCTAATGTTAAGTTTTGAGAAAGTCAGCACGTGTTATCTAATGAATGCGGTGCAGAGTTAATCAGTGCTAAAAGTGTGCACGTGAGTACCTATGGCTCAGAAATAGCAACAGAAAATCCTCGGTTTGTACCCTGCTGTGCATAAAGAGGACATGATTCATGATAAATGATATTTACAGGATTCACACCTGCTCCTTACCTCCCGATCGCAGGAGCCACGCTTTTGCTCCGGATAAGTGACTCAGGTGTTTTCACGCCGTGTGAACTCTTGTGGTTTTGTGTGAGTGTGCATGCCTGCGCGGTGTGTGACATAATGGAAAGTGCTGTAAGGTCGTCAGTTTTGATGTGTCGTATTTTTCCATATCAGGCTGGGAAAAGTGCTGGCACTTTTTTTTGTTTTTGTTTATAGCATTTAAAATCTCATAAATCCTCGTGAACTGATCATGTTTTATTATTAACCCCTCGCCTGTTCTTTCTTTAGATCATATGTACATAGACGAATACATTGAAGAAGATGAGGAACCACCTTTGCTGCTCAGCTCTTGTCCTCCTCGCGGTAAATATGCGCATGCTTTGTGAGCTCTGTTGTGTAAGAAGAAGAGTGTATCCACACGTGTGCGCTCTTCTTCTGATTCACGAGTGTGTTTCTGTGTCTTCCAGCTATTTGGCTGTGGAGGGACTGCAGCGGTGCAGTCTCGGTGGGAGAAAGGGTGTGCGTGTCTGCAATGCCCGGCAGGCCAGGAGCCTTCCAAGGTGAGACAACAAACTGTAAATTTTTTTAATAACATTTGTATTGTTTATTATATATTTTAAACACTTCCACCTCCTTAACTGCTATAAATATGCTTGTTTCAGTAGGCAACATTTGTCTTTAATTTCTATAGTGTAGAGTAGGGGTGTCAAACATAAGGCTGGCCCCGACTAGACAGCTGTGCAAAATATGAAGGAAGGCATTGATTTTTGGACTTTTAGCTGGGTTATTTAAAGTTTTAAATAAAGACTTCCCTCACAGCCATTCATACTATACCAAAGTAGTTAAGTAATAGATAACAATTAAATAACAGAAAAGTTCCTGCTTTTCACTGTCTACTATAAAGAACATTTTCATCACTCAACCAGTACTTTATGTCTTAGAAATATGGGACAACCTTTCCTGTAATTTTACACACTTCTTTATCTTATATTAATATATCTCCGGGATTAAATTTGTAGTTAAACTTCTTTACTCTGACAGAAAGTGGAGTTTCACTTGATGTGAAATGGTGTAGTGCTTTAAAACATATTGGACCCAATACATTTCCACAGCTCATTAAATTACTTATTCAACTCCCTCCGCCTGAGCAGCCACCTGCAGTTTATGTTCAAATCACATTTTCATCTCCTCCATTACATTATAGTCTGTGTATTTGGTCACTGCAGTTGTCAAAAATGAAGTTGTTCTTCTCATGAATCCATAAATAATGGCTGAGTCTTGTAAGTGCTGCAATATCTTTATTTTATTTCCACAGAAGCAGGATTTAAAATTAAAACAGTCATCTCTTTGCTACCCATCAACTCTACAACGCCACAGGGATGCTACGTTTTCTCTTTAAGCCTCTTTTGCCTGACTTTAGACTTTTTCTTTTCTTCTCAGGCTTGTGGGCAGATCCAGAGTCCAGCTGAAGAAGTGCATTGCCAGGTGTGCCCAGCTGGAACCTTTTCAGACGCACTGGACTCTGAGGTTTGCCGTCCACACACCTCCTGTAAGATCCTCGGCCGAAAGCTTGCATCCTCTGGCAACGGGACCTCTGACGCCGTCTGTGGTCACTGTCTGACTGGGTGAGAACTCATGGCCTGAGTCTGCGGTGGTCTACCTGTATGCTTGCTAGTTCACAAAGAGGTCTATCCAACCGCAGGGTGGACAATAACGCGGCTTTCTTTCAATATTGTAACTCATAAACTTTTATTTGTTCTAAATTAAGTCCTGCAATTTTCTCTGTCTCAAAAAAGCAAGAAAACAGTCACACACACACAAGCGCAGGGACAAACACAGTGTGTCATTCACCACAATGGGCGGGTAACATGAAGAACAGGCACCACTGGACATAACATGCCACAAGCTAAAACCGCTGATTCATTCTTTCACTGTTACACAGCCCCTCGTGTTTTTCTCTTCATCCATCTCTCTAATTAGGCTCTTTTTGGTTCTTTTTCATCCATTCACAGGTTTCACTCCTCTGCCGCTGGGCAAGTTTCCACCCAAAGTCCCTGCGTGAAAAGTAAGCATGCTTCTGCAGATTACCGTGTCTTAACTTGCTTTTAGTGAACTGATTTCTGCTATCACGCTGCCTCCTTCTCTGATCTTTTTCGCTCTTCTTCCCCTCTTTCCTCTCAGAAGGGTTGCATGTCAGAGTGGTCCGTAATGTGGGTAACGGTCAGTCTGGTGGAGCAGGAGGACCGGCCAACAGCACAGTGGTGCGCAGCGCTGAGGAAAAGACAGCAGAGTACGCCGTGTTTGCCCTGGTGCCCGTCTTCTGTGTGATGGGCCTGCTGGGTATCCTCATCTGCAACATCCTAAAGAAAAAGGGATACCGCTGCACCGGTGAGAAGGAGGGAGGAGATGAAGAGACTGCCACACCGCAGAAAGAAGGTGAGAGATGGGAAGGCTGCAGAGAGAAAATCACAATAATGGGAGCACAATAGGAAAGTAGCATTTAAGTTCAGGCTGTTGTCGCGTTTGACCATAAAAATGCCAAGTTAGCACACTTGGCATGCACACGATGTGGTCAAGTTTCCCTGTCAAGAGTGAAACCAGCCCAGCTCAAAGGGCAGCGCCTTTGCATGTGCACTCAGTCCCCATATGTTTTTTATGTAACTGCACGCGAGTCCATGTGTGAGGCTGTTTTATTTCTTTTTCTCATCTTAGCCGCTTTGAACTTTGACCTCACAGGGGACATTACATGCTGTAATTAGCTAAGCAGGTACTGTTTTAATGTAATGCTCCTATTTGAAAAGGTAAAGTGGGGCATTCTCGTCAACCCCTTCGCCTGCCAACGGACTTGCGTCAATGCAGAAAGCATAAAAAGAGTCAGGGAGGACAGGAGAAGAAAAAGATACAGAGGGGAGGGGCGTTAATTGAAAGAGACGTAGAAATTAATCCAAGAGAAAGATTGTATGAGTTACCATACCCATTCTCTATTGTTTGCATAATCTTGTTTGAAGTGCTTAAATGTATTTTTTTTCACCCTGTGAGCCAAATTAGCCCTTTGAGAGAGTACTCAGGCGACGTCTTTCTTCCTCTTTCTCTGTGCACGCAACTGAGAAATGCACTCATTTCTTTCCTTTATGCTTCTATTGTACTGGATGTACTGTACCTACTAGGTTTCTAGTTTTCTGTAAAAGGTCACATGGGAGGCACACACCTCCAGGCAGCTTTTATTTTATTCAATTGTGTCACAAAAAGCATAAAAAGTGCTTTGTTTAGGGTTTTTGGGAGGTGGTGGTGAAAAGATGCTGTGAAGAATGTGGAGTAATAATCAGTTCTACTTTTACAGATTGTACTTTTCTAGATAACCAGATTGCTAACCTGCATTTATGAAACAAACCACACACACTAATGAGCTGGAGTGAGCTTGCCACACTCTACAGTAACCTACTTTGTGTTTTAATTTATTAGAATCCACTGTTGCACAAGTTCTGCAGCAGCCAGACAGCATACACGACGGCCAGTTTGTTACGGTCATTTGGTGCAGATAAATAAGCAGACTTAAAGGCTAAGCTGGCTTTTCCTTCGCTCACCCGATGGTGCAAGGCTCTTAGGAAACCTGCACGGAATCGGGAGCGTCAGAGCGCAGCTGCACCCTCGACAGATCCGACTGTGTGACAGCATGCCTCACGTCAAGTGTTTGTGCAACACCTGTTGTTTCATTTACAGCGTTTTCCATAACTGCAAACATGCAAACAAATGGTTATTTTTCGCTCACTTACTCCTTCTACTAGTGGTTCTTTTTGCATTTTTATGTGCCCTCGTAGAAGGATGAGAAGTTTACAGCTGTAGCAGCCTATGTAGCTACACCTGTGTAGTGGAGGCCAGGGTGATCTATGGAGGAATGCATGCGCGCATGAGAATAGCCAGGGGTCAAAGCAACAGTCGGTGCTCTCTGTGCTCTCTGCCTATTTGTTTTAGCATCACCTTGGTTTCTTTCTCTCTTTGCATCTTGTTATGAAATTTAAGTCCTTCTTGCACCTGAAGGGAAACTCCCTGAACTCCATCTCTCTTCTGCTATTTCATCATTCCTTCTGCTCGCCATTGATCTGGTTTCCTGCCTCTCTAACATGCCCCTCTCTTCTCATCTGAACACGATACTATCAATTCATCTCTCCTTTCCCAGCTAGATCAATAATTCAATCGGGTACCTCGACTCACTGTTTATGTCGGTCTCTTCACTTCTCCTGTCCTTCCTTCTCCTCTGCCCTCTCTCCTTGATTCTCTCTGGGTTATTCTCTTTCCTTTCTTCCTCTATCCATTTTTAATATAAACAGGTAATTCATTTTTATATAGATTGCAGTGTTGACTTGAAAATCTGTATGCTGGGATAGTGGATAGTGATTTGCTTTTTAATTTTGCATTTTGCAAAAAGCATGAAAATGCATGCAGAAAGCATGCCAGTGAACAATCTTGTTAGGACATAAAGCAGATAACAGTGGTTCATGTATGAGGTCCTTAGTGATGATTAGCAGGAGACCTCATGCATGAGGAAGAATTCCAACTTCAATATAAGACCTCTAATCACCATCATTGCCACATTCGACTCATGCTTTAAGGGCTGATGATGCAGAAGAAGTTAGGTACTGTAAGAGGCTGCATATAAAGCAATGACAGCTCTCTTCTTGTTATGTAACAATCATTGTCGCAGTGCACTTACCTGTCTGCACACTGTAGTCCTGACTGGCCTAAGGTTAGAGGAACTTCTTACTCCAGCACTTTTTCCCATCATTCCATCTGAGAGGAAATACCCATGGGGGTAGCAAGGCCAAGCTTAGCTCGGCAGGGCTAAAATCAGATGCTGCGGTGGTAACTCTGACTATGCAGGACTGAGCACAGTTTGCTTCACTGGAGAATGCATCGACCTTAAAATCTGAGGGGGGAACAGAAAGGGCAAATGCAGGGTTGGTGCTACAGTAGATGCAACTCTGCAGTTGCTCAAGCATGAGTGCACACAGGAAAAGGTTGAAGTGAGCTGTTGACCGTTAACACAGAACTGCTGCATTTACAGTAAACCTAGATGCAAGTATAAATTTTTTTTAATCATAAGCCTAAATTTATGATGATTATTAAGCAAATTGAGACTAGTGTGCTGCCGTGATGTACTGTAATTTATGTATTGAAGGCTTGCTATCCGTTAGATCTGCCCCTGGAGAGCAGTTAGACTGTAATGCTATTCATTGTTCTAAAGAAAAAAAGACCAAAATGCTGACATGGGGGAAAAGTTTAAACAGATAACTAATCAAAAAAAGAAACAAGAAAAAAAAGAAACATTAAAAAAATGTAAAGTAGATACCAACCAGAACTACATAATGGACTAAAATGTGGAATACATGTAAGGAAGCAGGGCACAGATGGAAGACAATCAGTGAATCGTAGATGTGGTAGGACAAAGACAAGAAGTAGAACAACCAATAAAGGCATAAGTAGAGGTAGAAGGTATTTCCACTATTAAACATGAAACTTGATATCAGGCTGTGACTTTGTTGGAGTATTAAAGAGACGAGAACAACTGCCACCCCGTGAAAATGATGCTGTTATGCTCGCGTAGCAACAGGCACTGTGGAGACAGAGCTATTGTTACGGTCCAACAACAGCCTAATGCTGCTAATGCAAGAAAGACAGAAATACGCATGCACAGTCGCATTTGGCATCTATATTGTCACATTGTGCTCTTTAACACACACACGTACGCATTGTCATCTGGTACTGTGGGCCTGGTACATCACACACACATACACACACACACACAGCTCAGCAGTGCTGAACAACGCATAACTGCTGAGTGAGCGAATCTCCCTCTCTCCCCTTTATCGTCATTGCTCTCCACTCAGCTGCCTCACTATGCTGTACTATTATGGGATGGTGAGTGGCAGGGGGCCATCTACATCCACCCGTATCAATCAGAGTGTCCCTTGAACAGTGTTAAAAGTGACAAGCAGTGCAATAAAAGCAGTACATACATACACAATACTGGAAAATCTCTGTTTATTAACATTGCTTCTGCCTTACTTTAGGTAACACCTGTCCCTACATATCCGATGACCTGAATGAAGACACCATCAGTGTTCTGGTTCGCCTCATTACCGAGAAGAAAGGTAAATACTAACAGTGATGTCGCATATAAGTTGTGCATTTATTTAACAGATGGCAAGTAGCCTAAAAATTATAATAAACAGCAAATGAGAGTTTCAGCTTTGTCCACAGCTTATTACTACTGAAGTGATAAATGGCCCAATTGGCCCAAGATATACACAGTAGCTTGGCTTTCCTCTCCAAGTTTCCTGCATCAATTACATCCACCTTATTTATACACTTCTAATAAACTCCTGAATTACATTTTCACAGGCAGGAGGTGTTTAATTACTCTGATCTATAGTTTGACTAGCTGGCATTATAGCTAAATGTGTATATGTGTGCTTGCTTCAGAAAATGCTGCTGCGCTGGAGGAACTGCTGCTGGAGTACGAGACCAAAGAGATGGCTATGAGCAAAGGCTCGTCAATCAAGTACGAGACCGCACGCGCGCACTTGCACAACCACAAATCATCAGATGCATTTGCTCAGTCATGCTGCCCAAGGTCACACTTAACGAGATGGCAAGGGGGAAGTCTGGGAGAGAGAAAGAGAGGCGCTCGTCAAGAGAAAAGTGCGTGTGGGAGGATGTATAGGCAGAAATGGGAGCAGTGCAGATACATTTTCATACGCTTGCACTGAGCACTGAGGGCTATAAGTCCACGTGTTACTCTCATGTTAATATTCCAGTTGTTCAGTCTGGACATTATTAGTTTCATTTAAACTCTTTAACTAAAACAAATGCTAAAACATTCACTTAGGAGCGCACATTATTGTGACTGTCGGCTACATTTCCTCAGGAGCCTGATAACTGGGAGTGACTCACTCACTCGCAGAGGCTTGAAACCAGCTGCTAACACAGTTTACAGCCGTCTAGTCATGAGTCTGTCACACAGCTTAAAGCCACACAATTTATTTGACTGAGTGCATTTTATGGTAAGAACCTGAGGTTGTAACATAAGCCAAAATTGCTCAAGTTCCCAATGTTTAATCGATGAGGTTCGAGAGAACGCCACTTTATAACAGTCTGCACTGCAGGGCTTTGATTATTGCTTCGATAGTGATGCCACATTTACCCCAGTCATAATAATTTGTCACCTGTAAACCCCACGAACGACTAAATTAATGATGTAATGACATGATGAGCATCAGATCTAATTTATTTCAGTACAGACGTTTCTGGGGCCTGTGCCTGTGCACTGCTGCTCAGTGGTTCTGTCACATGTGATGCCAGAACATTCTCTCTCACACACACACACACACACACACACACAGATATATACAGACTGTTCTGGAAAGCTTTCAGATTGGTATCTGGATGTGTGTGGTGGGAGGTTTTGCACAGGTTATTTGGGTTCACTGTAGCTCACCCATACAGCACTCGTCTCTTTTGCTCTGTCTTCCTCTGCAAAAAATAAAAAGTGAACAATGAAAAGACACACAAACCAACAAGCTCTGTGCCAACAGATGAAAACTTTCGATTTGAGTTGCTAAATGATTTTATATTGACACAGAGCAGTGATCGCTGCTGTGATTGGACATATTTATATATTTTGTGCCATATTGTAGCAGTGATTGTGTCCAGGACCAATATTAGGGATGTACCAGTGCCATGCTAGGATATTCTGGAAAGCTTAGTACAGTTTAGTATTATAACCAACACTTTTCTTACCATCACTAGTCTAAATGGTCTTTTTACAATCCTTCTGTAGGTTATTTTGTGGTATTTGGATGTATCCACTTACGATTTGTCTAAACTGAATATGTCAACATTAGTTTTTATTTTTTAATAAATCTAATTTTCCTCCCCCAGGTTCCCGATGCTGTCTCCCTTATCCCAATTCCGCTCGCTGCCCAGGCTCTGCCCTCATCAGTCTCACCACCACACCATCTCCGGCCTCTCTGGCCTGGCCCCCAGACACGGTTACCGCTGCACCCGTTGCGCCCAGAAAAAATGGCCCCCTGTTCTCATTCCACCCCTGGATTCTCTCAAAGATCCCCTGAAGCCCCCCCAGAGTCTCATCCTGCCCTCCCTGGACACATCCTCCGACCAGCAGAAGAGCCCCCTGCTGGGTGGAGAGTGCGTGAATACACACCATACACAAGCCGCTGTGCCAAAAACTGTACAGGAAAAGATGGAAGGAAGTGAAGTGAAGGAGAAAAAGGAAGGAGAGCTCACAGTATTGTCTGTAGGAAGGTACGTCCACTTTATAACACTTTACTAAATACATGTAGCTGGGTGCTGTTCACAGGCTTCATTTTGACATATTTAAACTTTCCTGTAGCATTTAAATTTTTGTTTGCTGTTACTGAAAGTACCCAGCATCACTGACAATGATAGTATTGCTGGTTTTCACTGAGGTCATGGATTTGAATTGTATACCACCACCAATACAGTCGCACCAGCAAAAATAAATGAGCTCTCACTGGTTACATCACAGCAGCAATTTTCCAGGGTCGGTGTAATCGAGTGGCTTGAAGGTGGTGGAGGGGACTCAGAGGCAGGCAGGGTTGTGAAAGAGGAGCCTTTATTGTCAGAAAACAAAGTTCAGACAACAGGACAAGTTATCACGGCAGATATCTTGACTGAGGACACAGGAAAAGGCAGGACTATAGGTACACACAGGGGACTGATTACACAACAGGACACAGAGCACAGGGGATTTAATCAGCAGTGGGTGAAAACAATGAAGGTGGGCTGGAAAATCACAGAAAGTAACCATGACGATGCACAAGAGAAACACACTTAAATACACTTAAAAAGGCACGAAGACTAATTATGCAGTTGATTAGTCCAAAAAATGAACTCCTACCTCCTTTTTCTAACTACTTTTCTTTGACCTGCATGGAACGCATCAAGAGGTGAAGGGAAGGTATCAAGGAGAATTTATGAGGACTGAGGAGAAGAGAAGGGCAGTGCTCAGAAAATCCAATTGCACTTACATTAGACTCCTTAACAATGGGATGTCTGTGGTTTTTTGAATTACAATGGACTAAAAAGAAGGCACCTTTGAATTCATCCCAAAATGTTCTCACTGTGTTATTCCATTTTTTGCTGGAGAGATGTTCCAGTGTAACTTCCTTTCTCCTCTTAGCAGACGCTTTCCTACATTCAACAATTATCCAGTTCTGGGTGGTTGTGGTTTGGGTTGAGGAAGGTGAGGGGGGGCCTATCTCCGTCGATCCCAAGTAAAAATTGAATTAACTGGAGACAAAGTCAGAGAGTCAAGGCTGAGATGGTTTGAACATGTGCACAGGAGTGATAGTGGATATATG